TACCTAATAATTACATTATTAAAAAAATAATTGGCTTCGGCAGTGTTTTCCTTTGTTAATACACTTTTTTAAATACAATATTCAATAAAGTGCTTGTTGTTTATTTTGTTAATTACATACTGTTTAAAGTTTTTTTGGTTCAAATTTTGAATTTAACTGTATGATGAAATTAAAATATATACCTATAATAGTTTTTTTATTAAAATTTATGCTTTACGTAACATTTTTAACAGTTAATTAATCGTCTAAGGGGACATCCATTAATTACGTGAGGCATTTTTCTGATAATTTGGAGCCCCCTGCCCCTTGGTGAGATGTGGTAGACCCCCCTATCCCTCACGTGAGATTTTAGCCATTAAACATCGTTTTATGGTCCTTCGAGCAACAATTTAACAACAATTACCAAACAATAAACAACCCCCCTTTAAAATGAGATTTGGTGAGATTTTGCTGGACCCCTCCCCACCACTTTTGTCTCACGTAATTAATGGATGTCCCCCAATAATAATTATTGAAGACACGACACCTTTTTACGAACAACGTAACGAATTAGTCATGGTTGGTCACCTCTTGTGTACAAATTTAATGACTTTTCTAATGTGACATCTAACGAGGCATGACGAAAAAATATTTTGTTTCGGCAATTACTATTTCTTGTTTCTATACATATATGTATATATACAATTTGAGCAAACGGGATCTGTTTGCAATCAAAAAAGAAACCAACCTAGGATACTCAATGAAGCCACCCATATTGAGGTTCCTGGTCAGTTTGGTGTAGATACGACAATATGACTCCGTTCGGCATCTAGATTAACAGGGCTTTGCTTTGATTTTGTTAGGAAGGTTTTAAAACATCACATTACACAAGAACTTGGTCTGCGATGATGATGCAGACAGGCGTTTAGAATTTTGTGAAATCATTACCAATAAAATAACAAATCAGATCCAAATACTAAAAACATTTGCTTCAGCGATGAGTGTACATTTAATCTAAATGGAAATGTTAACAAACAAAATTGTCGTTATTTGAGAAATGAAAATCGTCATCACATTAGAGAAAATCACATCCAGTACACGGAAAAAAAGTTATTCAATATTAAAGTATATGTTCATCTCACCATTCCGCAAGTGTAGATACTTTTTATTAAAGGATTCATTTATTCTTATTTGTAATTTAAATTAATACTTATTTGAAGGATATAGGGGGTTAAATGCAAGAACTAACCTATACTTATTTGAATATAACTTCAATGTTAGGTGCAAGGGAAAACTTATTCTTATTTCAAGAAAAACTATCATTATTTTAAATGCAATAACCTAAAATAAAATATACACTATGCTTAATTTAAGAATAAGTATGTTGTGATACAAATGTAATAATTCTTGGCGATACAATATTTATTTTTAAATTAAATATAAGGTATCTTTATGTAAGTTAAGCAATAATTGTTTCAAACATTGTCTATTCTTTTTTTAACTTTTGCTCGACTTTAAGTAAAGGTTAGGATATAATGACCATGTTTATTTCAAAAGGTAAAGAGTGGATTATGCTATCTCTTTTTGTCTAAGACTGATAGAGAAAAATAGGTAGGATAATCCACTCTTTACCTTTTAAAATAAACATGGTCATTATATCTTAACCTTTAAAGTCGAGCAAAAGTTAAAAAAACAATAGACAATATTTGAAACAATTATTGCTTAACTTAACCTAAAAAAATGATGGTCTATATAGACTCTATAGCATTGTCTTTATCACATAACTTTTTTACAATGTTTCAAATACTTATCTACCTATATATGTATATTAGGGTGTGCCAAAAAACCTCGATATTTTTTTTTTCTTGCTCTCAACCCAAAATATCGTAGAATATGTCCGAACAAATATTCTGTTAAAAGCGGAGCTCATAATTTCAATTTTAAGAGGTCCTCCATCGAATCTGAAGTTTTGCCGCTTAAATAACACAGAAAACTGACTTTTTTACCTTATTTATTCTTGCAACCTAGGAAGAAATTTTTTTTTCATAAAATCCATGACTAATTCTTACAAAGCATTAAATTTGGAAGAAAAAATCTTATTAAGCCGAATTTCTATTTTCATTATTTGATTTTTTACAGAGCTTTAAATTTAAAATTTTACGTTTTTTGCCTTTTTCAGCTAAACTATTTAAGTTAGACGAAAAAGTCAAATGGCAATTTTTTAGCTTGTCTGATGGACCACAAAAAAGTTTTAAGCGAATTTTTTGTATCGTCAATATTCTTAAAGTTACAGGCGTATAAAGTCATCATTTTTGTATTATTAACTTTAAATTTAAAGCTCTGTACAAAATCAAATATTGAAAATAGAAATTCAGCTTAATAAGATTTTTTTGTCCAAATTTAATGCTTTGTAAGAATTAGTCATGGATTTTATGAAAAAAAAATTTCTTCCTAGGTTGCAAGAATAAATAAGGTAAAAAAGTAAGTTTTCTGTGTTATTTAAGCGGCAAAACTTCAGATTCGATGGAGGACCTCTTAAAATTGAAATTATGAGCTCCGCTTTTAACAGAATATTTGTTCAGACATATTCTACGATATTTTGGGTTGAGAGCAAGAAAAAAAAAATATCGAGGTTTTTTGGCACACCCTAATGTATATAATAAATACTGCAATGATTTTTTTCAAACCTTCAGACACGTTAATTTTGTTTGGCCTGTTTAACCAAAATTTTTATTCGTACCTATAATAGAGGCAAAATATACATAATTGTTTTTATGTGATTCTTCGGCCAACCTAATATCACTCCAACATCTAAAATTTAATACATAATACTACACACATAAATCTAGTTATGTAATAATTATTACCTACACATACATTTGGTGGTTAATTCTATCAAATTCTACTAATTTAGCAGCTATTTCATAATTCCAAACCAAATATTAACTAACACAAGAAACAATCTTCCAAAATGTCGGACACTTTCGTGAGTGGGGGATATTTTTAAGAATAGGCCAGTCGTACCAATATTTACTAATCTAAGAATAAATATAATTATATTTATACCCAGTATAGTTTTATATCTCTAAGAACAGAATAGAGGGAATTTTCCAAAATTTGGTCTAATCGATTGTTAATCTTAAATTAAGAATAAGATTATTTCATTTAAAGTCTTTCTTAACATTTAACAGGCAAGAATAAGATCTGCTTGTTTAAAGAAAGATTAATATTTAGTTTTAGCCTTGACAATATTAGGTCAATCATCTTGTTTCAACTGTAATTGATTTTAACCTAAGAAATAAAATCTTTTTAATTTAAGAATAGGTTAATATTTAAAAGAAATTTAATGTATACTTAAATCAAGTGAATTTAAAGGTATATATTATAAGAGTTAGGGCTAGGCTAGGCAGAATTATCCAGAACAGTGTATTGGCAGAAGAGGACCAATAGAATGGCCTCCCTGATCTCCAGATCTAACACCATTAGACTTTTTCTTATGTGGTCACTTAAAATCTGTGGTCTACAAAACTCAGTCTCATTCTATTGAAGATCTGCGACACTCTACCATGGGGTCTATTTTACGTCCGCTTTATTTAGACCTCCAACTTTCTGTTTATGGCTTTTTATTTTTCCATAATTGCAGGTGTTAACTGCTGTTAAATACGCTATAGTCGCAGTCGACGTACCTTTAAATAATCATCGAGTGTTATAAGAGTTATAATGACCACCCAGGTAGTTTAACTTTAACTAGGTTGTTTATTTTAATGGTTAACAAGATTTTGTGGATCGAATGTACATTTTGGCTGTGACTCAGTATAATTGGTAAACAATTAAAGAAAAAATTATGCTCATACAATGCGTGTTAAACACATTTTTTGCCTGACCAATAGGAAACGAGATAAAACGATTTAAAAAGTAGTTTTTTCAATGTACCCCTGATATTGTGACAGATTGACTGTACTAATCAGCTAATGGAACATTTAATTGAACACAATTCAGGCTTTTGTGGGGACAATACAGATTTTCACAACGTAACCTCGATACTATTATTATTGAAAATGCTATCGACACATGCTGTTTGTTAATGTCAATTTTTGATGGATTATTGGGTAAATAAAAGTTTGGATGGAAGCCAAGCCATATTTAACATGTATATTTTTATGTATTTTTGAGTAAATAATATAATAATTTTAATAATAATAAGATTTCGAAGGGAAAATATGTATAAAAAATATTAGGTTTTGTGTGTAGATTGAAAAGATTTTTTGTATTGTCATGCCTGTACATTTATATTCTTGAAACACGTCGGAAATATAAAATCCACAATAAATTTAACTTTTTCCCAGGGATCTACTCAGGATTTAGTGGGTTCAACAATCTCTAACAGCAGTTGGTTTTTATCAAAAAATATAATGGTGGTAGCAAAAATTACCAATTTTATAATAAAGTTCATTATTCTTCGTTCGAGTTCTTGAATTTTCTTATTATCTCTTCTTAGAATGCAAATAATGAAAGCTCTACTAATATTTTTTAGTATATTACACCTATCTCAAAATCAATCTGGAAACTCACTGTATATATAAAAAATGAATTATTATAGTTTTTAATATTCTTTATGGCATTGCATGTTGTTTGAGTAGCATTGCCATTCGAAGAAAAACCTTTCCAAAACATATTCATAACACTTTAAAAACATAAATAATTCACCGAAAAAGAGAGGTAAAACCCCGAAACACGTCCTACTTATCGCGACAAAGCCCGCGTAAGCTTGCACTGTCGCACGACATAAATTTACATTTTCATTTCGGAGGTCTTTTGCACTTATCCTCGACCCTTTTAAATAATAAAAAAACCACCGACAAAGCCCAAAATTATCGTTACAGCAAATTTTATTACCCATCCTTTCAAAGAGATTTTATAATTATTGCTGGTTGGTTTATATACACGTTTGTGGGTTTAACCGCGGTGAGATGTACTATGTGCTCTACAGTAATTGTTGTAAAATGTAAAAATGGACTTACATGATTGTTGTGTACAGTTATGTGGTGGGTAATATGGGCCTTGGGTTCTAGTTTTGGCCTCTCTACATCAGTCAAACGTTTTATGTTATCCTTTGTCGATATTTTTAGTACCAGCTGTAACAGAAGAATAAAAATTGTAATCTTAAACATATAGTGAAATTTCCTTCAATATAATAATAATAATAATAATAATAATAATAATAATAATAAAACGCCCATTATCGTACAAGTTTCCATGACACTAAGTGACCTTTTAAATACACATTGAGAAGTTGTGGCTTTAGCAACAGGTTTTTAGTCACGGACTGAAGTTAGTTTAAAGTTAGTTGACAGTTGTCAAATGTCATACAGTCGTTAAAATAAAGTGCCTTTCTTGTAAAATAATACAAAATGTGAAAATTATTTTATTATAACAATGCAAAAATACAAAAAATTGAATAGTTTATTGAAAAGATTATATGACGTTTGTACTGACTTTTTGATTTCGCCGTAGTAGTGCATTTAACTAGATTTAACTGATAAAGCATTAAAACTTTTGCGTGCAGTGCCCATAAAACATTCTCTTCTCTTTTACTGTAAAAAACTGCTTCTATATCGAATGTTAGTCCATTTTCAAGGGATAAATTTTGATTTACACAGAGAAACTTGAGATTTTCACGCCGCTAGATCCCAAGTTGGAAATTCTAACGGGTATTCCAATAAATACAACTGTCACTTTTTGTACCTTTTACATTTCCCGAGTAAGAATTTTTAATACTTTGTGATAATATTTTACAATTATAGTAATAAAAAAATCAAAGGAAAACATATTTTCTTAATTGTTATTTTAATTAAACATAAAATACTTTAAAATATTAAAATAACTTTATTTTAATATTTTAAAGTAGGTACCAATAATTTTAGGTTTAATTAAAATAACAACGGGCAATGTTAATGGTGCAAATTACGTCAAAAATGTTTATTGGAATGGTTACTTTATTTTCGTATAGATGTCGCTTTATACAAATACTTAATTTAAATCATTTTTAGATAATATAATGTATTTGTCGTAGAAAGAGTATAGTATGCAACTCGTTTATAAACTTTTCTGGGCACTTATTTAATTAAGCACTCGGTCGCAAGCTCGCTCGTGCCTAAATTAAATTCATGACTAAAATGGCGTTTATCAAACTTGATACATAATGTACTATAAAATTGTATTTATTAAGGTGGTCCACAATTCAATGAATAAAAAAAATGTTTCAAGTATTAGGATAAACAACATCAAGATAACTTGTTCTACCCACTGTGCATAGTTTTGTTATTACGCAGGTAGCCGAAGGATCGGGTGGATAAAAGACACGAGTTCTGTCCAGCGGCTTTTACAATGTAAAGAGGGTAGACGTAATTGAAACAGATTAGGTCCTCTTTGATATGCAGAAAAGCCACTTGTTAAACATTCTCAATTATCGTTCTTCGAACTGTCCAGTCTGTGTTTATTGACATTTTACTGCTCGATGCCCATACATTTACCCTTGATTTTGAATGGAATAAAGATAAAATTGTATGGATGATTTGGTACGGCAGAATCTTGATAATAATATTAGTCGTAGTAGAGTCTACTTACAAAGTTTTAGAAAGATTGACCGTCTGGTTTTCGAGTAAAAAATTATTCAATTTGCAAAGACTACACAGGATGTAATCGCTTATTATTGCTTTGTGAATGTTGACAAAAATGCCACTTCTATAAGATTAATTAAATACATCCAGAGTTTTAAATAAGACATTGAAAAATTATTTAGAAGTGCCATAAATTTTTATCTATTTTGCGTTCTTAATGACTTCATTATAACACCGCTTTCGGTGCGGTAAGGAGATACTTTATCCCACCTAAAATTTTGATTTTATAGGTTGCCTATACTTTAAACAGCATAATATTTTGCATACTTATTGGTTATAATATTTTTATGAGTGTTCTAGTACTTTTCTGCAAATAAATTTTGTTTAACACCAAATAAAATCCTTTTTTTCTTCTTTAACATTAACAGCCGCTTATTGTAAATAAGTAAATTAAGGACGGCAGGGCGAATCGATTTTGACATTAACTGTCAAACCAATGACTGTGATACCAACTATCTAAAGTAAAATTCGACTCCTTCGTCGCTCGTTTTATAAATTGTCCGCGTGCGACAAAATTACGCCTTATGACATTAGTTCTAATATACATACTATTGTTAAATTTCACCGCACAGTTTGGCAATAATAAACGATAATGTTAACTGTGTCCAAGTTATTTATTAATTTTTTTTAATGGTGCTCTTCTCTTTAGACTCACTGCATTCAACATACTGCATTTGTTCTGTTGCTTTATTTTTTGTTAAATTTATATACTTATAAATATATTCATTTCATTTTCGTTTTACTTTTTTAAATTACTCAATAAATATGATAAACTACAAAGCTTATTATAAGAATGTATTCAAAACTCAGTACGGGTAATATAACATAGATTTAAAAAACACCCCTTCAACAAAACTCAACCGCTTTGTACGCATACGGTAGCGATATTTTATAGGACCCTCTAGAAAATCGAAGAAAAAAACTAAAAGCCTGACGAGATGAGAGATCGTGTTTTTACATTCAATTAAAGGTTTTTAGGGGGATTTTTTTACGACTTTTTCACGCTGGGGTGACGATTTTTAAATGCGTTTTAAAGATGAGGCAAGATTTATGTTTTGAGAACATCGTAAAATTTGACATTTAAAATTGAAGATTTGACAACAACGCTTTGTACAAGTGCCTCTGTAAGAAACACAAAGTTTAAAACGATTATTAATCTGTATTTAAGGCCACCAATTTTAAAAAAAAAGAATGTATCAAGTTAAAACTAACCTAAAAACTAAAACATTGACAGTGACAATGTCAACCCTATAATTAAGGTCATTTTACACTACGATTTTATATACACTAATGGAAAAAATTAAGGGATCAAAAAAAAATTCCAAATTTTTGGGCAGTTTTCAACAGGCCGTAACTTCGAGAGAAATGGTCGTACAGGAAATCAAAAAAAAGGAAATTGTAGCTCTAGTTTTTGGATTCGAACTTCAAAATTTTGTACCCTCCGCAATTTTTGAGTAATCGTAGAAAAACCAGCAACAAAAAAATTTTCAAAATCGGATACCTTGTTCATTTAGCTTTAATTTGCTTTTTTATACACCCTGATACGCCTACTTCTCGCCGAGATATCGGTCTTCAAATGGAAAAGGATCCTTTTGTCTTTGATTATCGATATCTCAGCAACCAATGATCGCACAGAAATTTAAAGGTGGGTTTTAAGAACTTGAATAAATTCTCCTTAACGACTGGCCATCGCTTTTCAGAAAAAAAATTTTTTCTTTTTGTCACATGAATTTGAAAATGCAACAAAAAAAGGGCTTTTAGTAAGTTTTTGGAAAATCAAGCGCTGGATCGAAAATATTGAGGAAACCACTAATGTTAAGTGTGCCTTCTACAGTTCAATATGTCCACAAAAACCCTACAAAAAACTAAATTAATCCAGCCAGCCGTTTTTTTGTTTCACTCGATCGAATTTTTGAAAAAATTAAAGGATCACGTTTTTTGCTCTGAAAAGCTCATAATTTTTAAAAATGAGAAAAAAAATGGTTTTTCCGAGCTTTTCCCGCATTTTTGTTCCAGAAAGTGCTTAAATTAAAAAAAAAATTAAAAAATATATAAAATGGAAAATTTGTTTTCTTAACAAGTTAAGGAAATTCAAAAAACCATCGCCCAATCATTTTTATCGCGTTTCCGCCGCTGCATTCCTTGAGTCCACTCCTGTAAATTAAAAAAAAAGTTAATACCCCCAATCGAATTTCGATCTTTTTCATACGCGATTGTTTTTTTTTACTTCTTGTGAATCCTTAGCAGATCGCTTAACTCAACAGTTTTTTCCAAAACTAATCCCTTTGCGCTAAAAGAAATTTTTTTCAATTTTTTTGGTCAAAATTGGAAATTTCTTACTTTTTTGATTTTCGTCAATGCGAATATTGTTGCTCGAAACTTCCCCAATCGTAGACAACACGCTAATGCCGGCGGTAATTATTTTATTAAAATTTTCAAGAGAAAAAATGTCGAAAAATCTTTTTTTTTAATTTTTTTTTTTTTGGAATTTAAGCACTTTCTGGAAAAAATGCGGGAAAAGCTCGGAAAAACAATTTTTTTTCTCATTTTTAAAAATTATGAGCTTTTCAGAGCAAAAAACGTGATCCTTTAATTTTTTCAAAAATTCGATCGAGTGAAACAAAAAAACGGCTGGCTGGATTAATTTGGTTTTTTGTAGGATTTTTGTGGACATATTGAACTGTAGAAGGCACACTTAACATCCTCAATATTTCCGATCCAGCGCTTGATTTTCCAAAAAACCACCAAAAGCCCTTTTTTTGTTGCATTTTCAAATTCATGTGACAAAAAGAAAAAAAATTTTTTTCGGAAAAGCGATGGCCAGTCGTTAAGGAGAATTTATTCAAGTTCTTGAAACCCACCTTTAAATTTCTGTGCGATCATTGGTTGCTAAGATATCGATAATCAAAGACAAAAGGATCCTTTTCCATTTGAAGACCGATATCTCGGCGAGAAGTTGGCGTATCAGGGTGTATAAAAAAGCAAATTAAAGCTAAATGAACAAGGTATCCGATTCTTATAGTGGTTAAGCTAAAAAAAAATTTTCCACGTCCGTAGACAAAAAAAAAACTAAAAAAATTTTGAAATTTTTTTTGTTGCTGGTTTTTTTACGATTACTCAAAAACCGCGGAGGGTACAAAATTTTGAAGTTCGAATCCAAAAACTAGACACTTGGAGCTACAATTTCCTTTTTTTTATTTCCTGTACGACCATTTCTCTCGAAGTTACGGCCTGTTGAAAACTGCCCAAAAATTTGGAATTTTTTTTTGATCCCTTAATTTTTTCCATTAGTGTAGAATTTCTAATATTAAGCTGCACATAGTTCTCCCACCTCTAATTATTCTGCTAAAATACGCCTGTGATTGGCTACTTCATTTTATTAGTACGTCTGATCGAAAGACGGCAAAGACTATTCGACTTAAAATCATTTTCGACTTTTGAGACACCCTGTATAA